CGCGTATCTGTCAAAAGATAAGCAATTATAACGGAATTTAAAGGAAATAAACCAACCCACTCAAGGCTCTTTATGTTATGTTGTTGTTATCGCACTGTAAGTAGTATCTCCGCGGATTCGTTTCCAACCGATCAAAGACTACCAACCTACTATGCTTCACCTCGTACGTTACGAGAAGCCTAGTTGAGCGACATCAGACCAATGCAATCTATACCGACCTATCAGCAGCATTTTACAAGATCAATCCCGCTATCACCATCGCTAAATGGGAACGGCTAGGGATTAATGGATGTCTACTATCTTGGTTCCAGTCGTATTGTGTCTATTGAGGATTGCAATTCGATTGCTTTCTCAGCAACTTCAGGTATTCCTCAAAGAAGTCACCTCGCCAATAATTTTCTAAAATTATTTCAACGATGTGAACTTTGTACTAGAGACACCTCGTTTGTCATTCGCTGATGATCTTAAGATTTTTCTCAAGATTCAAACGCATACTGACGCTATATATATATGTATATATCAGATTGATAGATTCAGTGACTAGTGTGACTTGACCAACATGACAGTAAATCCTAACAAGTGCTCGATAATCACCTTCTCTATCAAAAAAGAGCCCTTAAAGGTCAATTACACACTCCTGGTTAATTCAATTGAACGAGTAAGTCACGTGAAGGACCTGGGTATTATCTTGGACTCACAACTGACAATCAAACAGCACATTTCATGCATGAAATGACAAAGCCTCCAGATAATTGAGGTTTATCTTTAGTATAGCTAAGGATTTCACTGACGTGTACTGCCTTAAATCGTTATACTGTTCCCCAGAACGATCTACATTAGAATATGGCACAGCTATTTGAAACCATTTTTATCATAAAGGAGTTGAGCGAATCGAGTCAGTTCAACGCAGATTCATTCGCTACACACTTCGACGATTACCGTGGCGTAATCCTTTTAATCTGCCCCCTATGAGGAATGTTGTTCATTAATACACCTAGAACCTCTCAACACTCGTCGCGACACTCTTAGAGCTATGTTTGCCGCTGATATTCCGCAGAATTGAGTTGATTGCCCAGCTTTATTGGAACAAATAAACATCATTGTGCAGCCTAGGTCCTTGCGAAACAACCAGATGCTTCGATTGCCACTTATTAGAACTAACTACGGTTTGCATAGTGCTATCATCGGTCTTCAAAGATTATTCAACTGAGTTGCATCTGTGTTTGATTTTCACATGTTACGTGAGTTACTGGGACGAAAATTTCCCGCTTTATTTTCTTGGAGAACAAATCGCAACGAGTAGTTTTTAGATTTTACTATATTTTTTTTGTATATGACAGTCAGTAGTGTAAACTAACCATCATTGGAGCCACGAGCCTGTTGATGCAAAAATAAAATAAAAATATCATAAGTTTACTCCCAAGCTCCCCCACAACAGAATAGACCACCATCGTTGGGTTGCGAGAGCATCAAGCGCTGTTAATAACCAATAGCTGAATTGTTTAAACCATGAGTTTTGGAAAGGGTGCTTGCGTGATCTAGTTTGGAAGAAATTGATGGCTGCTTTCAGAGAAGTCGTTTCATTTGAGTCGGAGTTCTAGGATCAGTTTCATAAACTGTCATTTTGAATTGATGTTTCGGATCTACTTGTGAATCATCATGTGGCCCACAGGGCTTACAATCCTGTCAAAAATCCAAATTCAGTCTGATAAGACGTCAATGAGTGGTTTAGAAAAAAACACGGAGCTACTGGATCAGTTTCATTAATTTGCCACTTAAAAGGATGTTTCGGATCTTCTATTGGACCATCTCGTTGCCCTCAGCGTCCATATTCCGTTCACAACTTTGAATTTATTCTGAAAAGACGTCTAGGAGTGGTTTAAAAAAAATCGTGGAGCTCAGTTTCACGAATTGACCACTTTTAGGGATGTTCCGGATCTTCCGGTGGACCGTCCTGAAGTCTCCAGAGTACAAATTCCGATTATAGCTCCAAGTTAATTGTAATAAGACTTCTATGAGCGGTTTCGAAAAAATACGGAGCTGCAGAATCAGTTTCATGCATTGACCACTTTTACGGATGTTCCGAGTCTTCCGGAGGACCAGTCTTCCGACTTTACGGATGCAAAATTTTCCCAAAAGGAGGTCATCTACCATGTTAATAACTTTTCAGAAGACACCAGGAAGTTTTCTCTTCAAATTACCCTACAATAAGTGTTTGTCCCCTCACGAAGAGCTACTGATTCCGATCAATAGCGGTGCGGCTTCTTCCTCCTTCTATGGATGCTCATGTGGGCTGCAGCTCGCTGCTTGCAGGCAGCCTTTCGTTTTGTACTGGAGAACACCACCACTCATCACGCGGTGATTGAATAAACCGCGAGACCGAATGGAATTCATCTTTGAAATCTGTGTTAGGGAAATCGCTTTTCGCAGGCAATCGGTAACTATCATAGCAACAGTTGCACATGCGTGCAATTTTCAATAGTGACATTTTGTAAAATGATAAGGTCTTAATTTTAACGGATTCGTAGAAAAACTTCCTATCGATTGCCGTATTAAGAATTATAATCCATCATCTCTGGATCAAAATCAGACGACGTTCATATCGCGACCGACTTTGAAATCGCAATGATGCCTTAAAGTACATGGTATGTTAGATTTAAACATATATATATAGATAGAGCTGGAATTAGGCGTAACAGCTTTTGTAAACAATAACTTCTCTCGATGATTTCTGAATTCAAGGCACGCTCACGTAAACCAACATTACCGTCGGGTAAAAATCTTTCATAATTTTGTTACATGTTCCATTTTCTGTTTTGACAAAGTTAACCCCCATATAGAAAGCTTTTGTAAACAATGCCTTTTCTCGAGGATTTTTGGGAATTCAAGGAACGCCCACGCAAACCAACAATACCGTCGGGTGGGGGAAGTCTTACCCTACCTGATGGTGATGTTGATTTGCGTGGGCGAGCTTTGAATTTCAAGACATCATCGAAAGAAGTCATTGTTTACAAAAGCTGTTACGCCCTAATTCCAGCTCTATCTTGATATGGGAACTGACATCCGATTGATGACCTTGACAAATTTCCGGATCTATCGATGCTCATGTGGGCTGCAGCTTGCTGCTTGGAGGCAGCCTTTCGTTGTGTACTGGAGAACACCACCACTCACCACGTGGCGATTGAATAAACACCGTTTGGTGAGATCGGATGGAATTCAACTTTGAAATCTGTGCTAGGGAAATCGCTTTTCGCAGACAATCGGTGATAATTTTAACTATCATAGCTATTCGTGTAATTTTCAATAGTAACATTTTGAAAAATGATAAAGTTTTAAATTGAACAGATGCGTAGAAATATATCTGATCGATTGATGATAAAACTATTGAAATTGGTCCAGGGGCAGCTGAGTTATTAACGTTCAAAATCTTTCATAATTTTGTTACATGTTCCATGTTCGGTTTTTTACAAAGTGTGCCCCCATATAAAAATCACAGACGTAGTCCTACGTCAAAACTAGAACCCGCCGTTTTGGATTTGAAAATGGCGTCAGACATCGATTTTTGGTTCCTATACTTTACCTCGATTCTAAAAATAACTTTATTGTGGTGTATTGCACAGTATTTTCCAGTTTCCCAAAATCGCAAAAAAAAACTCATTAGGGGAAATGCTCCTATAGTTGCGGTACGCTAGAAGCGCTAGGTTCCTATAGTTGTCCTATGGAGACTCAATACACAACTATAGGAACGCTATACGCTTCTAACGTACCGCAACTATAGGAACGTTTACACTATCTGGAATTTCCTTCAGAATAAAAAAATCTTGTTATTTGGGATTAACTCCGTAAATATAGACTTCGTAAACAGAGGTTTCAGTTTTCTAGCTGATCAGCTAGCAACTTATTTGTTATTTGTCAAAATGCAAAATATGCGATTTTTTATAAAAAAAAAAATAAAATAAAAAGTTACTTTCAGTTAACGAACGTTTAGTATATCAACATTTCGGGCCAATGGACGATTTTGGCCTTAGATTAATTAATAAATATAAGTCTCAGACCAATGTAATTCATTTGCCCCGAACTATTATTTTTCTTCCTGAGAATCAAATCAAACTGTTGCAATATACTATTCTTTAGATTTAGATGGTGTTCTATTCACTTCTGTACTATATCTTATCTTTCTTATAAAAATTGATCTTAAGCATCAGGCATCAGCAAATCAAATCATTCAAACCACCCTAGCGGTGCAGTTTCCCATTTGAAAAATCATGAAATTATGCAAACATCCTATTAGACAATGGCCCATTTGATGAATTTCAACCACATTGAACACCGCCTCCCAAGGGTGCAATTAACCCAAACCCATCAAAAACCGGATCATTCAAAGCCATAAATTTACCAATATACATCGACAGTTTGCAATAATTACCGATGATGATTTGTTCCTCGCACACAGGAATTGCAATTCCCGCAGTCCCTCCGGGGGAAGATGGGCACTGGGCACTCTTATTAAAATTTCAATTGAGTCCAACCGCAGCACGCTGCACTTGGCAATTGCATTATATGGCAGGTTGAAGGACGTGCGCGCGCGGGTGTCGGCTCTCGTGTCCTCGGATGCAAATGGACAGAGTTGCAAAATTTAATTAATTCCGGCTCTCGATGGGATAACGGATGACGGCGACGGCGGTGACGAGTTTTGGTTGTTTCATTTCCGACTGTAGTTTGGTTGTGATTTGAAATTCCCGTGTGAGACAGAGGGTGAAGCAGCGTTTGCGAAAGCATATAAGAGAATGCAACTATTTTTAAGTATTTAGAATAACACCATTTCCCAGTTCTAATCTAAGCCACATGTTATTTTCCACTCGCGTGCAGTTACAATAACAACGTCATCGAAAGTTGCAAGATTATGTTTTGCAACCAGTCAATTACTATCAGTGGGAAACACCGGCGGGAATTTCTACTCTATCAGTTGCACTGCAAATGTGAAGCCATTTAAAGCATGATCTCCGCGCATCCTGCAGTATCAGTTCCCACAGGGCAGTCTAACAGTATAGAAGAAATAAGCCTCAAAATGCAGCAGTCTCTATTCTCCCGTGTCAAGCGTCAAGCCAACTCGGTAAAGACCGGTGACTTGGAGCAGTTTCGATCCAGGGACAAGGCCTACCAGAACTTCATTGACGAGCTGAAGTCGGTTTTAACCGAACCGAACGAAATCTACGGCAACATCAGGGTTACCAAGCGTCGCGATGGCATCACCAAGGTTAACATCAAGGACGGTGCCAACCAGGTCGGCTTCATCTACCGCAATCGGGATCTTTACATTATTGGTTTCGTTACCGGATCAACTTTCTACATCGACAAGGAAGTGCACGATGGCCTGGGAAAGAAGATTCCAAGTGCGTGGACGACTGTGATCGGCACTAGCAAGGTTGAGACTCTGTCCAACCCATTCAGCTACGGTCAGATTTTGCCGAGTGGTGAGAATACTGTGCTACAGATCGGCAAACTGGGTGATTCGTTGAACAAGCTCACCCAAGTGGGAGACACTTCGAAGCGCTCGCAGATCATGACGCAACATCTGGGTCCGTTTGTGGTGGCATTTTCCGAAGCGATACGGTTCCCCGTTGTTGCCCGGGAGATACAGGGTGCGATCCGGCAGTCAACCGGTACGGTCAGGCTATCCAAAAACATTCTGGAACCATTAAGCATCGGTCATCCTGATGAAAGATGTAACCAATTCTCGTTGAGCATTTATGAACTGCTGTTGAACTGGGGAAAGCTATCAGACAGAGTTCCACTTGTCTATGCAATTGGCTCTGATGGCGCTCCACCTCTCCGAGAAAGCGATTGCATTCTACGCTTGGAGAAGAATCAGCTCAACACGCTACTCGGAGTGGCCAACTCGCACCGATTTGATAGAATAAACACCGCCCCAGTTCGTGGCAAACGGGACTTGACGATAATGTTTGATAATACAATTCCACAGCATCCAGCGCTCTTGGAGCAGCAGATCAATGGCATCGATTACGAGCAATCACTCCCGATGTCTGCACCATGTGGCACCACCTCGATCACGCACAGTCCGGATGTGATTGGAGCGTTGCATCTGCTCACTGTCGGACTGCTGTATCTTTACGGTAGAAAAATGAATGTAGCGGTCGGGGAAAACCGGCGAACTCTCGATTCACGGGAGGCGTACGGTCTTGCCGCAGATCTAGCCGATAGGATTGGATGTTTCTTCAGGTTTGCTGGTTTGGAGCTGGAAATTGGGTTCGAGGAGGAAATGCACCTTCAACGACAGTTATCTTCGGCTATTCTTCATGGCGAGAGTGTGGAACCGATTTTGACAGAGCTGCTTTACCAGCATTATTCCAAGCTGGAGAATGCCGGATCGTTGGAAGCGCTCCGACAGCTTCTTTTCAAGGCACTGGCAAGCGAAAGTGGATTGGTGAAGGGGGATGCATTTCTGGGTGATGTGTGCTTTCCTGGCTCCGAGAGCACGGCCTAGTCTAGTCGTTTAGTTAAAACAATTTTTGCTACTTCGGCTGAGCTTCACCGGGTTTTCATTTCACCAGAATACGTGACCTGCGAGCTTCATGAAAAAAACAACGAAATAAGAACATTGACTAGTGCTATAAATACATTCGGTCCATTTGATTATGTAATAGAACTTTGTGTGATACTTGAAACCAATAAAACTTAGCATTATTACCCACTTACTATAATTTTAAAGAACTTTACACACTCTAATTTTTTTTCCATACAGCGTAACTCCATTTTATTAAAAGCTTTTAAGGGAAGTCTACTTTCGGTGTAAGACCATGGGTCAGTCGACCGAAAGCCATTACACCAAATTTTCAAAAGTGAAAGACAAAGCTTTCACAATTTTCAACTCGCTGGAACTTCGAAAATTTTCCAAGATCTTCAGCATCAGAAATACCTTTTTAAATCTTGAACTTTAATACAAATTCAATGCTTTAGGATCTTTAAAATTTCATTCAAAGTGTTTGTTGTGACTTCATACGGGTAGTTTTCGATTTTCATAATTGGGTTTTAATATATTGTACTTATATCCACATGTGTGATAATTTATTAACTAGAGAAAGTTCTGAACAGGATAAGTTGATAGTTTCACTAGAGTACGGCAGTGTGTAAATTGAATAGAAGTTGAAATTGAGCGAAGGGTCATTAATGCGACAGTACTAGTCTACTGATTTCGGCAACGTGGGTCTTTAGGTAGAAATATACGTCACTAGAACTATTCCACAGCCGTAGACAGTGTATGAGCAAGTCAAACGCGCACTCTTTTGTCTGTAGATCTCTCATCCGTTAATGTATGAGTTAGGTAAAGGAGTGTGCGTTTGAGTATTACTGTCGCATTAATGGCCCTTCGCTCAATTTTGACTTCTTATTTTTAAATTTCCACACTGTCGTACTCTAGCGCAATTATCAACCTATCGTTTTCAGAACATTCTCTTGCCACTAAATTATCGCACTAAAGCGTCATGTTGATATTAGTATAGCATGTCCAACCAACTCTCAAAATAGTGGTTTAAAAACTATTACAGATACAATTTGTGTTAAGAAAGCTGAATAGCCATTGAATGATCTTAATCTAACTTAACATTTTTGATTGATTCAATTTGATACTTTATCAGAATTAACGTAATTCTTATAATTGATCTAATTGTACTAAATAAACATCAGACATTGGATTTAAAAATTACCGAAATAGCCAGTTTTCAGAAGTTTGAACACCTGTATTTCAGTATTGCAGAATGGCAGTCAATTATCCGGTTCCTCAATACCCCCCTTACTAATATAAATTCCACGACAGTGCTCATATGATGTGATGCGATAGATGAATTCCCATGTGGTTTGAAGTATCGCAAGATCGATTTTGACACTAGTAAGCAACTGGCCACTTCCCCGGGGTACCCGGAATATGGCCAAATGTGGCCAGTGTACACACTTAAAATTTTTCGCCTAGATTCCAACAGCCGAGTAGTTCTGCAATTTATTTTGCTGAGATTCAGTAAAACAATTGCTGAGACTCAGCTAACAAATATCATTTTGATGAGATATCAGCTAACAAACAAATATTTTGCAGATATATCAGCAAAAGTAAATGCCGAGGTAATCGGCTGTTGGAGATTTTACCGAGCTAGATTAAGTGTGTAGTCCTGGGCATTTCAAATTACTTCATTTGAACTGATGGATTTTGACCCTAGTCAGAAACAGACCCCGGGAGTTCCCGAACATGGCTGGATGTGACCAGCGTGAACCTGGGCACTGCCATTGAACTACTTTTTGAATTCTTATGTGATTTAAGGTATCACATGATGGGTTTTGACCCTAACCAGAATCCATGTTTTTCGGACCTGGTTCTGACCATATCTCCGGAACCAGTTGATCGATTTCAAAAATATTTTAAAAATTTCTATAGAATGATGCATCTTTTCATTTGACGGTCATTGCGGTCAATTGCTTTAAGAGATTTGTCATTATTTGTCTCAAGGCGCTCTGCCACTCGATATTTTTTGTTGTTGTTAGAAAAGTGCCGGACTACAGGATCTTACCATAGAGGTAACTCTAAGACCAGAAGGTCCCGAAAAAACGTGCTCAACGTTTTTGGCTCAGCTCAGGTACTGTCTCCGGTCCCAAGCTAATCGATGCACCCCTCGAAACATAGAAAAATCCACGAACCCCACATTTTATTTGTCAAACTTTAATAGCGAATCAAAACAAACATAGTGTAATACTAGAATTTCGAATAGAATGGGGTGCGTTAATCGATTTGCTTGGGACCAATAGGCTAGTCAAGTATTGAGCCAATTTGAAATCGTTAGTTTCCAACCGGTGATCTTACTATGGCCAAATGAAGGCTGTTTCAAAGTACATTTTCAATGGAATTCTACTCGATGGAGCTGTGTTTCGGTTTTCCGCTGTGTCAGTTCCGTCTGACGTTTAGCATTTTCCTCTGTGGGAGAGGAAGAATCGGTCATTTTGTTTATGGTGGAGATTGGGATGATGTTCAGTGCAGTGCTGCAAAATCTCGAAAATATACGGCGATATTCAAAATTCTGCTTTGGTCACTCATTTGAGTCATAACAGTTATCGTTAAGGCAAACCATGTCAATTGTCAATGACAATGCTGTCAATGACGAACGTGTGTAGATTTATTTAATAGCTAAATATGAAACCAAACTAAATGACTTGAGCAAAACAATTACATGGAGCCGTTAAAGTGAACAAGCATCTTCGTCGTGAACAGCTTGGATAACAATAATGTGACTCAGAATCATCGAAATTACACTTTCTGTTACCAGGTGAATCTTTGTCATTGACGATAAAATGAATGAAATTTTGACAAAGTTTTTTTTGAAGATCAAGTCTATCACAATTTTATCAATATCGTGCGAAAGTCTGTCAATCACAATGACAAATCTCAGCACTGGTTCAGTGTATAGTTTTACCTGTTTTGTGGTGTTTCAATGCCTGCAGATTGCAATCGACAGGATGGGATATATTTAGCATTAAATACATGGTGCTCGGTGGAGGCGAACCAGCCCCAGGCTGAAAGCCTCCCTAATAAAGATAAATAATAATAATACATGGTGTTCTGTTCCATAGTTCAAATAAATTAAGGGGCGATAGAAGAACATATTTACTAAAAAATTGGTCTACGCACATGATCAAATCTCTAAGAGTTTATGATTTTTTTTTCTGTTTGGTCTATGCTTGCCATAAATCAATTCACGGTTGCGTAAAACACGAATTCAACCCCACCGTGTGTGCTGTTGAGGCCTGTTTGCAGCGCGCATAGCACACTTGATCGCCACGCGGAGTGACGGTCTGATAAATGCGATAAGTGATACCAAGAAGAGCAATCAAAACAGAAACTTACTTTTCTAAACTTACTCACTTTTCATACCGTCACTCCGCGTGGCGATCAAGTGTGCTATGCGCGCCGCAAACAGACGTCAACAGCAACGCACGGTGGGGTTAAATTCGTATTTTACGCAATCGTGAATTAACGACCCAACATGATGAGGTTAGTAGAAAATTGTGACAAAACTAAACAAGATAGACAATTGGTGTCAAAAAAAGAGTTGTAGAACGCATTAAGAGGCATCTTTTGGTTTGGCAAAACAATACACTTTATTACATAGTTTTTAGAAATAATAAGAGAAAACCCGTATAAAAACACAAGTTTTAGACTCGTTTATCCATAAAATGTGTCTAAATGCAGCTTACTTAAAGTAGAAATGACACTTTTAAGTAGGAAATTTACCAAGCTGTCCTATGAAGGCAAGAGTTTTGTACTAAATGGCATAGTTTTTTAGTTAGAGCCAATTTATGGCAAGCATAGACCAAAGCAGAAAAAGTTCAATAACTCAGTAATCTTTGAGATTTGATCATATGCGTAAAACAATTTTTTACATAAAATATGATCTTCTATCGCCCTTAAATTATTTGCACTAAGGAACCGAACACCCTTTATACACACTTAGAAAATGTCATGTAAATTTAGGTTCTTTGAGACGGGGCTGTGTTATTTCGCCGAAGGACGTTTCGTCGAATGAAAAAGCAGGAAGCACTCCTATAAATTAAAAATATTGATTATTTAAAAATGTACGAAGTCAGTACAACTCGAAAGAAATGTTCATGTTCAAAAGAAGGAAGCATTACATTTGAATAGCTTGCCAGGTTAAAACATGTTAATATTTCTACGAGACTGATTTAAAAAAATTCTGAGCTTTGAGAAAAGTTCAAAACCTTAGAAAATTGCTTGCTCTTCGGTGAAATGACCGTCGGTGAAACGTCCTTCGGTGAAATGTCCCGTTCCCGCTTTGAGGCTGACATATAGGGTAATGGATTAATTTTGGCTCACTATCATAGTTTGGCGCATCTTGCTATATTTTGCTCATTTTATATCATAAAATTCTTTAAACTTTAAAATATTGTGAAATTTACATTAAAAGTATTACACTACTAAGCGTCTTCCATTTTTGTCTTCAGTAAAATGTTTCAATTAGTGGTAGTAAATTGAAAATAAAATCATGCATTTTCGCACTCATGCTGAATCAGTCAAAAATTAGAAGATGTCAACTTGCAAGAGTTATTATGTCTTAAATGGATCCATTTGTAATATTCAAATGAGGTAATTGCGTCAATTAGATTCGATTGAAGTGCCTTTGCTCCGGAAGAAGCAGTAAAAAGAGTTAAAATGCAGCCATTCCATAACAAAACGATATAGCGCTTCTCAGAATTTGGTAGTTTTGTTCCTTATCGCAACATATTAGACCCGTATTTTTATGTTTTCATTAGGGTGACCATTTTCATGTTAGGGTGGTTCAAAAAATCGTTTTATTTTTTCGATTAAAAAAACACTTTTTTTTTTAAATGACTTTTTCAAAAATTCAACTTGGCCGATTGTAAAGATCAAAAGGATTAAGAAACTACTATGTGATGAAACTACTGGTTATAATATGGTTGTGGGTGGTCCAAAATAAATTAAAATCCGTCTTCAGCATTTGTGGTATTTCCGTATTTGTTTGTTATGTTGCACAACGATTTGTTTTGACAAAAAATATATCCAAAACCCAACTAGCCTTTGGCTCTAATCTGAACGTAACATAAATCATGAACATACAAATAAGATAAAGATTGTTTGCAAAAAACAACTCATACAATAATTAATGGAAGACTTTGTGATTTTTAAAAAAGATTTAATGTGTCTAA